ATAAATCCATGGGTGAAAATAACCCTCTGCCTATAAAACCCCCTGTACATCTAGAAGAAATAAATCTTGCTGTTAATATCTCAAGTGTAAAACAAGTTAAAAGCAAGTCTCAGATTCAGTAATGAAAAAAAAAAAATAAATCCATGGGTGAAAATAACCCTCTGCCTATAAAATCTCCTGTACATCCAGAAGAAATAAATCTTGCTGGTAATATCTCAAGTATTATCACCCATTCAGTTAAACAAATGAAAAATGAAAAAATAATTATATTGGACCTTAAGAAATGCAGGAATTTAGGAAATCCTTCTAGGATTCTTCACAGGAACACAACTATAATCTAACATACACTATTGTACCTAAATTACTCAATACAAATATATTACTCCAATGGTGGGAAACTGTCAAATCCTAACATCTCTGCTGATCTCTCAAGGAGATACTTAAAGGTCAGACAAGGTAACTGTGCGTCTGACTGTGAAAACAAGGAATAGTTATTTTGTGAAATATTTTTATTCCCTGAGATTTGCTGGTCCAGACTTTTTGTGAATTAGAAATGAGTGGACTCAGTATATTGAAAAGCAACATTCAGGCCAGCGAAACTAAAGAAAAACTTCTAAAAGCAGGATTTTCTGTTTATTCAGTTGCCAGAAGTTGATGAGTACCTACACTGGATGAAACAAAATGTCATACAGAGGTGTTAACTCAGTTACTGTTCTGAGATCTTAGTTCTAAAACCTCAGAAGAGACAGTCCCAACATTAACAACAGACCTCTGAAGCTGCACGGCAGTGCAAGGAATTAAAATGACCTGATTAGATTTCATACTTTACGTGATCTACTGACACATTTCTACATATTAAAAGAGAAGTAGGCAGATTGCTTAACTCCATCTATCAGCAATCCCAGAACAAAGCTTGTTTGGCCATTGGAAATGTTGTATAACATGTAACCTGTGTACCATCCCAATAACCCTCGCTACAGCTTCACTATCACTTGTGTAACAACTATATACCACCGATTTTGAGACTGAATGGCAAGTGATTTGAAATATTTTTTTATAAGCTATTCTGGTGAATCCACACACACAGTAAATACACCCACCTTGTTGATCCTGGCATCTGTATCCATGATTTTTACATTCAGGCTGCATGCTCTATAACCCAGCAATGTCCAATCCTTGTACCAAAGCTCTCAACTGCTCTTAAAACATTTGCTTATCACAACACTGATAATAATAAGGAAGCTGACCTTCCTTATTACCCTTTATATCCCCTTTTTGTTCCCTCCTCAAGATTTTTACAAAGGTTTTTGGGTGGGGGAGCTGTTTGGACTTTATCCCTTACCATTTATAGGGATTCACCTTTTAATGGTGATGACAGTCTGCAAGAGACGAGCTCTGCTAACCAAACCTTTTCTACTCAAGATAAGGGAGCTCATTCTGTAAATCAAATTGAGGCCCATCATCAACCTGCTTCTGTCACTAGCCATTTCAAGATGTAGCTGGAGTGGAAAGGAAATCTCAGTGTGTATATTTATATATACACACATATATGTGTTTCCTTATGTATATAACATACATAAGGAAATCTGCCGAGGGCAGTGCTGTAGAGCACAAATTGAAAGTGTAGCCAATGCTACACGAATGGCAGTGAACCCACGAGGATACAACACTGGCTTGGCCAGAACCAAACCATGGGCATGTTAGAAGAGCATAACGATCAATGGTGTATTAATAGCGTAGCCAGACACTACTTAGCATGTGAAAATGACCCCAAAAAAGTGCCAAAAAACCCAAAAAAAACCAACCCCAAAAACAAACCCGAAAGAGATGGGTGCAGTTTCATGCAGGAAGCATCAAGTGACAAAGCTTTACCTCATCAGCCAGTCTTCTAATTGCCCAATACAGACACATGTCCATGCACAGGGGTGCTCATGTACCTTGGGTTCCAGGAATACCCATCATTGGTATGGACCCAAAGGCGATTCTAGCGAACCAAAGCATTTACCCTGAACCTGAAGGCATCTGGAAGGGTGCACACACAGAGCTGGAAAACAAAATCTGCTGGTAGCTGCTCTGTACCCTTTTCTGTGACTGCTATTTTGAAATACCTACATTCGCTTTAAGTAGGGCTCATGGAAAACCAATTATTTAATATGAAGTACATGAGTAGCAGCAGCAACTCAATCGTTGACCCACTAGACCGTACTGAGATTTCACCTTCATTAATTTCAGTCACATGTGGTTGTGGGGGGGATAAAACTTAGCACTTCAGTGAAGACAGCAAAAGGTTTAAGGACATTTCAACTCAAGAGCTGCCTTCCCAGGAGACCCATTTACTTAATACATGTTGTGACTTACAGATGAGGTGTGTCACTTCATCTAACTACAACACGAATCCAAGTTTCCACTTCCACTTTGACTTCTTTAATGTGGAGTTAATGGCTCATAAGAATTCATAGCAAAATAGATCATTTAAATCATTGCAGACACATCATGCAAGGCGTTTAGGAAATTCACACCATACCCAATTTAACCATCGTTCTTGCAGGACTGGTTACGTTTGAGCAGAAATTTTAACTTTCTAATTTTTAGCAAACACTGAATCAAGCATGAGGAAGCTGAGAAATAAAGTTTATGATGTCATTCAATTCAAGAGCTGCATGCTCTTTATTTCTCTGAATTTTTGTTTATACTTCAACTGACTGTACGGTTTTTGTTTATAGTTCAACTGACTGTACAGTCAGCATCTACCCTTAATTTTGGCTGTTGTTCCCACCACATTGTCCAGATAAGTAACTTGAGTGCTGCTAGCACTCCAGAATGAAGTACTATGAAACATGTCAGCACTAAATTGATATAATCAAGAATACTTGATGTCTTCCCAACAAGGTGCTATAGATACAATTATTTCATAAGCATCAAATGCCAAGATTCTTTCTATAGTACACACATTGAAAAGCAATAAAGAAAAACCCCACAAAATCCATTCTGGACCCTTGAAGCATTTAAGTACCATATATACCAAACTACGTTAATACTATACTAACTCTGTATGTTAATACTATACTAACTCTATATGTTAATACTATATTAACTATATAGTTAATACTATGTTAATAACATTGGAGCACAGATAACACAGAGAAGTTCTGCTATTAAAAAGTAAGACCTGTCATAGATGTTATGATCACACACCATTTAAACAGTTGGGAAGAGAAGGCTTGGCATTTTTCTCACTTGATATAACCATGATATAAACGTGATACAGCTTTCTACTTAAATTAATATTGCACTGTATAAGTTACTTTTCTGACACTCAAGCTGCATGACAGAAAACAAAACAAACAGAAAAGAGAGTCCTGCTCAGGACATGGACATGATTACCAGAGGGATTTCATTTTGCTGAGACCAATCATCATTATTTAGTTTCAGCAGACATGATTGCAAAAAACTCAGCACAGAAGGAAGTAAATAGCCTGTTTTTAAAAGCTACTCCAATACGAGCTGACAGATGTCTTCGGCACCCAGGTGCTGGTTCTCTTACAGTAAAACCTGCACACCCTTACATAATCACAAAATAGAATCATAGAATTGTCCGGGTTGGAAGGGACCTTCAAGATCATCTAGTCCAACCATCAACCTCACTCTGATAAAATCCACCACTAAACCATGTCTCTAAGCACTAGGTCAACCCGGCTTTTCAATCCCTCCAGGGATGGGGCCTCAACCCCTTCCCTGGGCAGCCCATCCCAAGGCTTCAGAACCCTTTCTATGTCAACATTTTTCCTACTCTCCAATCTGAACCTCTCCTGGTGCAACGCGGTTGCACCAGGAGAGGTTCAGATTGGAGAGTAGGAAAAATGTTGACCCGGAAAGGGTTATGAAACCTTGGAAGGCCATGTCCCCTTCTCCTATCGCCTGTCTGACTGATCTTGAGCAACTCAAGGTTGACCTGTCTAACCTTGAGCAACCCAACAGCAAGCAATTCCCCATAGCAGAGATGTGGTGGACCAGCATGACGTGGGCTTTCTTCACCATTTCAAGCACCCGTATATGACAAATCATAACCATATGCAGTACACAACTGCATAAGCCTAGCTTACAAGGTTGGAAAAAAATAATATTATCACAAAATAAGAATCAGTAAGGAGTAGTAACTTAATATCAGGAGTAACAGCCACCTGTGCAAGGTGTTGACTCTCACGGGGTTGAAGCACTCCATCACATTACAGTATGCTGCACAAATGCCACACTGACACTACAGATCAACAATTAAAGAACTGTGTTATTTGAAAGGAAGGAGGATAAGAATAAAAAAAAAAAAGACATTCATTTTTTAAACAATTAAAGAACTGTGTTATTTGAAAGGAGGATAAGAATAAAATAAAAAAAAAAGACATTCTTTTTTTTATGAATTTTCCATGACTAAGAGCAAGCAAGTTCTGCCATTTCAGGTGTTCATCATCTCACATTATTACACTTTGAGTGAAACAACAAGGAACCTTCTAAAAGCTGCATGTGAAACCCAGGAGATAGCAGTTACCACTTCTGTCAAACTTCACAGAAAGGAGGTTTCAGCTTTACATAAACCCCACCAAAACCAAAGGCTGGCCAGAACTTTGGCCTTCAGTAACATCATACTGAAATAAGAAGTTAGACAGTAAAAATAGGTTGGCATATTAGCACCAAGGGAGTGAACTACCTTTGTATTACAAATAATTGTGGTCTAAATACTTGTTAAAACTAAATGCACATTCACAAGAGCTGTCTGGAGTCAAAGACCAAAGTCATCAAGACGTAGAATTTTCTGGCAGAAGTTACAGGTCTCAGCATGTTGGGTCATTGTCACCTTTCTACCTGCAATCCTTGTTAGTTAACAGGTTTTCAGAGATGGGTCCTCACTGTCGAGCTGGACACGGCCACCCCAGGTTTGCCTCTACACCCTGATGAGCCGACACGGGGTAACCGCAGGGGGGCGCGCAAAGCCGAGGTGCACTCACCGTTCCGACTTTCTTCATCAATAGGAACTATTGTGGCTGGAGGACCTGTTCTGGCCAACTTGCAATCTATAAAGATGAAAAGAGAAGTTATTTCTAATTCTAGAAGAAGGATCTTGGGGCTTTTGATGCTATTTTTAAAACAAGTCAGCATAATCGGTACACTGAAGACAAGTATTCACTTAAATACGATACACGTATGAGCTACGGCTCTTCACTGAGTCACACTCATGGAGGATCAAGATCTGAGCTGTTTGCTCCTCAGACAAACTTTATAAAGCATGGGGAAATTTGATGAGAAAGGATTTAACACCTCAGATACTGATCCGTAGCCAAAACAAACACTTTTCAGCAAAAGCTTAATGTGGTTTGTTGTGTTCCCTCTTCCATTAAGCCTTCCTTCCCACGGCATGAACACACACACACCCAACCATCGGGACGTACCACCACAACACAACTGGACGCCTACACCTAAGAACCTGCTCCTGTCTTGCTCTAGAGACACCACCAGGGATCTCAGTGAAGCAGAAGTCCTTCAGGACAGAGAGAATATGATTGCAATTTAACCCAAAGAAATAACAAAGGCATGATTAATAGCTATAAATCGCAATCAAAGCTTCACAACAGAAACAAACTTAATTTGCATTTAATTGCAACAAAAGGGTCTAATTAAAGAGAGCAAACGGAATTTTAATAATGTTCTAAGGAAAATAAAAATTAAAAACAGACGAGCAATGTTCAGGAAGTTACATGTTGCCATCTTACCCTCATATTGCCAGTCTGGAGTCAAAAGTTAAGAGTCATCAATGGAAGCAGAGCAGAATAATGAAAGAAAATAAGTAAGATTTGGTTGGTTTACTCAAAAGATAGGTTCAAAGACATAAAGCAGTACATGCAGAGCTAGCAAAGGCATAGATGTAGTTTTAAAATATATCAAAGCACGTATACTACGTGATGACTGTACTTTGTGAACAATTTGGTTTTCTGCATTAAATAGCGGAAAAATATTACCTCTTTAAACCACAGAGAAATAAAAGTTAAATAAGAAACACTTCTCATTTGCAAAGAGCCTCACAGCACCGCTGAAACGGCATGGGAAGAGACAACCATTCTCCTTCCCATTTCACCACAGAGAACTGAATATGAGATTGCAGCCCCCATTTCAAAAGGCATTTAGATGCCCCTCTGATCCTCCTGACACGGCCCCGGCCACGTGGATGGCTACACACCATGGGTAAGAAATGACAGCTGCTAATTAGCTTCTAGACAAGGAAAGAAATGCTGAAGCATCACTGCTGTTTTGGTTTTTTTTAAGAGGTCTGAACACTTTACAGAAAAATCCCAACAGAAAATCATCTGTAAATGAAACACAAGAGCAAGTTGAAGTAAAATGCTATTTCCCAGCTTACAGTAAAAATTACACATTTATCAACTTCAAAAGAATTGCGCCGCAGCTAATTACTGACTATAATTACCCCAGCATAGACAAGACCTCTAAAGGAAGATCAAAACAGCGGAGCATTTATTCGGATCTCCGTTTAGGTGAAGCCTCTGAAGGACTTCTCCAGGGCATGGTAATTTCCTCCAGCAACAGTTTTGCCATTCAGCTGATGAGTTCAACTGGAGGACCCAACTTCTAAACGCCAAGCACGCCATTCCTCAAGGCTGTTCATATTTATGAAGAGCCTGAACGATACCTGAATTAATACTAGTGATAATACGCCATTCCTCAAGGCTGTTCATATTTATGAACAGCCCGAACGATACCTGAATTAATACTAATGATAATACAGTCACACTCTAATTACTTTTTTTTTTCTTTAAAAAAAAAAAAAAGGCAAACAGGCAAACCTTGCTCTGAAGGTCTGCACAGGGAGCTCACTGCCTCACCTTCCTTACATCAGTGATGCTGTTTTTACAGCCTCAAAAACTCACTTGGTTTGTTACCCTAAATGAAATTATTTAATGAACAAATTCTCAGCACTTAATTCTTTTATTCTTCTATGCTCTAGTTTGATAAATAAAAGTTGAATATTTTCTGTTGATAGCTTTAAAGCTTTTCGTTTTGAAGGCATTAACAGAGCAAACAGATCATCTGAAATACCGTGCCTTTCATTTTATTGTAGTTTTCTGTGAGCATTCTGTGTGGGGAGATAAGCAATGTTTGCATATCTACATGAAATAAGGATTGTTTTTTCTGCTTTAATTTTTTTTCCCACTGGATGCTATAAAGATCTCAGGACCATAACAGACACAACTCTACCCTTTTCCAGATACATGTGTTGTAATTTTCTAGCTGCTTTGGATTTGGGTAACTGAATGGCCCTTCAACAAACTCTTTGTTCGGGCAACAAAGCTCACCCACACAAACTTCTACTGAGACTTTGTTCTCATAAACGGTCCTGAACAGTGATCACTGCACACACAACCAAAAGAATTTAGTTCTAAATATTGCATATGCCTTACCAAAAGAATAATCATGATTTTTTTTTTGAAAACTAAATGGGCTTTTTCCCCATCACCGATGTTTCCATCATGCTGTTGTCTCCTTGCTGGGTGTCTCAAGGAAAAGTTCACCCAGATCAGGCCAACCTCTAGTTCTGTTCCTCAGTAAGAAAATTATCAAAATTACTAGACAATCACACGTTAGCAGCACTTTCACAGGATTGCTTTTTCAAACACATCAGGACTTCCAGAATTATAATCAAAACAGTTATTCTGTATGCTTATAACCAACGTTCAGCATTGAAATCTGGATAGAGAGAGTCTCAGAGAGAAGGCAGATTTAAGCTCAACAGGGCAGTTTAAGCTCAATGATTTGCAGAGGATTTATTGCAAATGCGAGCAGGTGAAGCAATAACGTTTCTCATGAGGTAAATTTCAATGAAAAGAAGAGATTAGATCAATAGCCAAAACTATAGCTAGGGGAGAAAATAATAAACAGGATGTGCAGTAGAAGTCTCGCTGTGGATTACCCTCATGGCACCAATAAACATTTTATTAAGGAAAGTGTTGTTTTATTGCATAGAGAAGAGTTCACAGATTAGATTATTTCATATAATTTCAACCATGGCAGTACTACCCAACTATCAGATTGGTTTTTTTGAAGATGTCTGTCTTCCCTCTCCCCCAACTTCTCAAAGACCAAACCCAATAATGCCACAGCCCTGTTGAGTTTCACATTGATCACCATGCACTGAACAGATAAATTAAAAATGGCAGTCTTACACAAATTTCCAATTAAAAGGGAGACAATTTTAATTAAAACCTTGAAGACGAGTTACGTGTTGTAAACACATGGGTGGTACCTTTTCTTTTTTTTTTGCAAAATACAATCAAGAAGCAGCAGCAGCAATAAGCCCTTGACAAGCTGGGTGTGCTGGGTCACCAGGCACCAGCCAGACCTGGTGGGAAACACTGGACACGTCAAAAAGAACATCTCTGGGCTAGAGCGAGGCGCACAGAAAGGTTATTCCCATCACGAGGAGGATGGAGAGTCTACTCTATAAAGATGAGAGGGGCTTGAATAATTTAGTCTAGGAAAATGAAAGCTTTCTAGAAATACACTTGGGTAAATATCAAGGAGGAAATACAAGTTACTTAAACTACAGAGTAAAGTGTAAAGAACACTGTGAGTGTGAAGGAGAAATGGCTGCATGCTGTCCACAAATTTAAAAAGTACATTTCCAGCCCAAACTTTTTTTTTTTGAACTGGCAGAGAAGGTAGATCCTGCAACACCCTCCCACAGCAGGAACAGCACAAAAACACAATCTCAGCATTTTTGAAATACACCTTTCATAGAATCATAAAATGGTTAGAGTTGGAAGGGACCTCAAACACCATCGAGTTCCAACCCCCTGCCCTGGGCAGGGACACCTCCCACCAGACCAGGTTGCTCCAAGCCCCATCCAGCCTGGCCTTGAACCCCTCCAGGGATGGGGCAGCCACAGCTTCTCTGGGCAACCTGGGCCAGGCTCTCACCACCCTCACAGGAAAGGATTTCTTCCTGAGATCTAATCTGAATCTCCCCTCTTTCAGATTAAACCATTCCCCCTCATCCTCTGGCTCCACTCCCTGATCAAGAGTCCCTCCCAATCTCTCCTGTAGCCCCTTCAGGTACTGGAAGGCCATCATGATGTCTCCCCAGAGCCTTCTCTTCTCCAGGCTGAACAACCCCAGCTCTCTCAGCCTGTCCTCACAGCAGACGTGCTCCATCCCTCTGATCATCTCCGTGGCCCTCCTCTGGACCCGTTCCAACAGGTCCATGTCATTTCTGTGCTGAGGACTCCAGAGCTGGACACAGAGCTCCAGGTGGGGTCTCACCACAGCAGAGCAGAGGGGCAAAATCACCTCCTGCAACCTGCTGCCCACACTTCTTTTGATGCAGCCCAGGATGGGGTTGGCTTTCTGTGCTGCCAGAGCACACTGCTGGCTCATGTTGAGCTTCTCCTCCACGAGCACTCCCAAGTCCTTCTCCTCAGGGCTGCTCTCCAGCCATTCTCCACCCAACCTGTGTTTGTGCCTGGGATTGCCCTGACCCAGGTGCAGGACACTGCATTTGGACCTTGCTCTTGGCCTGCTTGAACTTCATGAGGTTTGCACAAGCCCACCTCTCCAGCCTGTTCAGGTCCCTCTGGATGGCATCCCTTCTTTCCAGTGTGTTGACTACACCACACAGCTTGGTGGCATCAGCAAACTTGCTGAGGGAGCACTCACTTTATTTGCTTATGAAACAGATTATATTAAATGCTCCTCAGCAATATTATGAGATGTTTTTCACAAGTTTTATTGAAATGTTCCTCAACAGAAATTATTTCAGCTGTAACAGATTGCTTTATTCAACACAAACAGTCATGGATAATTGCAGCACCAGGGGTGACTTATGAAGAAAATATCTGCACAAGCCTTTACTTTCCTGTTATTTTGTTATAAAGCGTCTGATTGCAGGCCTCAGTACAGATCTGTTAGATATTTTAACTATTCTGACTTCACACTGCAGATTATTACCAGACACTGGCACACACCTAACTAACAATTCACATTTTTAAGAAAACTACAGCAATTGCTAAGCCAGGATGGTTTCTTTCTATCTATCAGATGGTTTCTTTGAAGAGAGGCCCTGTGTCCCCCGGGAGAGCAGCCAGCAGTGGCAAGGAACACCCCAGGGACGGAGGCTGGTGGCCTTGTCCGAGTGATGGAAGGAACCTCCGCTCTGCTGGAAGCGCAGGGAGAAGCCACAGGCTGAACCATGGTCTAGTCTTTCTAAATTTATTCACTCTAACTTCCTCAACAAAAAGCAACTTGTCCTTGAAATTCCTGGGCACAATGCAGTAGGCATGGGAGGCAAATCACGGTAAATCAAACATGCTTTAAGAGAGGCAGAAAAGGCACCATATAAATGAGGTTTCCTACCTGCAGTTCTCACAACGTGTTTTATGTTTAAGCAGCAGCACTGGTAAATATAATCACAATATAGCAATTCCCCCATGTCCCAAGCACCTCACAGCAGAGGCAGTAGGCATCAGGAAAATAAAACTTAGTAAATAAAACAACAAGCTCTGACATCTTTCCTCAATCTTGAAGAAAAACATTTTTGTTCCTGTTATTAACTTCACTGTTTCATGCAAGTAGTACATTTGCTTTACAATTATATGATCAAGGCAAAGGCAGATAAATAAAGGGCCTGTCTCCTTGGGAGCAAAATAAAAAACTATTTAACAAACTTCATGGAACAGTTACATGCCTCGGATCCATTTGGTTTCTGATGGTTAATTTTCAT